TATAGTGCGATCATTACATAAAAATTAGCAATGCAGTGCTTTGACAAAAGTTACGTATTACGTGCTAAAAGTGCTTTTATCTGATATGTAAAATGGTAAATTATTCTCCAAGGAAATGCTTCTGAAAGTTTCATAAATTTAAACTCGCGATTGTTCGTGTTAACATTAACATATGTCGATCTAATGACCTTTCCGTAAGAAATCGTCGGATGAAGATGCAAACTTTTAAATTGAAGAATAGGACACCTTGAAAGTTTCATATTCTACTCACAAGCACCATTCGTGAGGGGTTAAATCATGTAACTAATGTAGTTGACCACCTGAAATTACATTAACTCAGACTCCTAATCGAATAGCAGCGCGTTAACTTGGCCACCTCGCGCAGTCACCATGATGGAATCATAAAATACACTGAAATTCATCTGCATTCATACCTTGACAACGACATCGCATTGTATTAACGCAATACGAAGAGTGCGATCAAGTTATTTATGCATGTTACCATCTTCCAGTGATGCAAATTCAAGCTCCTGACCGCAGACTGACCGCTGATGTACTGATATCCTACAGTCGTCCAAATGAACTGTAATAGGAAATCCACTAGTTTGATAGCGGCATCATACTTCTCTCAGAGAGAACTGGGCTGAATCACGCAAAGGATGCAGCTGACCATTGCCCAGTAACACAGATTCAATGCGGCTGCTGCAATCTGCGCCAAAACAATTGTCATAGACGGGGATGAAGATGCAGAAGGGAGAAGATTGTTCTCCGCTCTAGTGGTGGAACGTTCATTCGAGGATGCTAAATTACCACACACATCTGGAAAGCAGTTGAGAAACCTAAGCATTTTTACTTGTGTGGTGAGATACGACCCTCTTTTATCGTTTGAGGATGCCCTTTCGACCCCCATATCGAAAGCATGAAGTACATAAAGTTTTAGCTTAGTTTTTCTTGCAGACTTTTTCATGCAACCATACCAAGCATATTTTTAACAGTTTTATTGAAATGCACAACATGACATACACGCATTTTTCAAGGATTTTTAACATAAACAAACTGCGAAAAATGGAGTATCAGCGATAGACCAGTCACTGTCCCCCGCTTTCCATGGCATCGATTTTTCTGCGTAGTCTCCCTGTAAAGTAATGAAAACGATTTTGGAGGTTATGTTAGACAATTCATTTGTCCGTACTCAGCTCACTGTTCCGAAGCAGTGCTTTGTCAATTTTCTGTCGTGCTTCAGGAAGTCTTACGCTGACACTGATTTTCCATAAACCTCTGTTGCGATAGATTGCCTTCGTGATCTCCTTTTCGGCACTATTGCTGAGCGTCATACTCTATAAAGTTCATTATAAAAATTCGGTAACCATAATCGAATTTTTTTATGCATTGCCTTGGTCTTTTTATTCTAACTAGCATTCTGTATGAGCCCATCATTCATTGTCTAATCCCCCGACTGTTTTTTGTAACAAAACATTGGCTGATCAAATTGGATGCCAAAAGTTGCATGTAAATGATGGAGCGACACCGTGAGACAGCTTTCGACTTCTCTGACTGGATGCAAATTAACGGATAGTGCCTATCCTTGCTGTTTTCAAAATATTTCTGACTGCTCCTGCTCAAAATTCGAAAGATCCTCTACTTGATGATTCAGCGTAGCAATTTTACTGTCTATTCTATCTGCGGGTTGCTCGTCATGTTCTCTCCGATTTTGGTGAGTAACATTAAACAAAGTTACATTTTAAGTCGCTCCCTGTCGCTCCCTATACACCGATGGAGCATTATGGAAACTGGAAATAATGCACACGGTAAATTTTGTGGCATCATTCCGTAAAATATATTTCGTACTTTGAAGTAGACTTCTGCATAAAATACTAATTTTTGGTTTTTAAAGTCTGCGCTTAAGAAATGCGTAATTCGAACAGTTGTTGCTTTTTTAGCAAATGGACAACTATTCGTTGACTTCTTCTTGGTAGGCTAATACCACGCGCGACTTCGCGTCGCGTCGCGTCGCGATTCAGTCTTTCATAATTGTACTCTCTAAAATACTCCAATTTTAAACGAATAATATGTGACCAACTAGTGAAATCGTATTATATGAGTGTCTTTAAAATTCATTGTCTGATAGGATGTAGGAAATTGAGAAGTTTCCTGCAAAGCAAGAATTCAACCTTTTCGTTTACTAACCACCAGCACTATCGGGGAGACTCGACATACTGTGATGATGTAATTGT